ATTACTATTGATGATGGGTTTGTTGATGATTTAAATCAAATAATGAGTAGTAACTACGAAAAAGCTACTCCCTTTATGAAATTATTTTGGGACCAGCAAAAGAAAATGTGTAATAAAAATTTTGTTTAATTCACCCTATGATAATACGGTTTTGCCTCTCACTTGCCTCAAAGTCGGCCTCAGCTTATGATGAGTTGCGCTCATCAAATGTACTAACATTACCAAGTCGCAGAACTCTAAGAGATTATAAGAATTTCATTCGACCGAAAGCTGGATTAAATCCTCCCGTAATTGAAGAATTGAATAAAATTAGTATTAACCTAGTTGGCTACCAACGATATGTAACGTTATCTTTTGATGAAGTAAAAATACAAGAAAAACTTGTTTTTAATAAACACACAGGTGACATTATAGGTTTTGTAGATTTAGGTGAACCTGATTTATATTCTACTTTTCAAAAGGAAGATTCTTTAGCAAGCCATGTTCTAGTCTACTTCATTCGAGGTATTGCTTCTGACTTAAAGTTTGCTTTATGTCACTTTGCTACTAAAGGTCTCACCTCGTTTCAACTAATGCCAACTTTCTGGGAAGCAGTTGGAGTTTTAGAACTGACATGTAAATTATATGTTATAGCTGCAGTATCGGATGGTGCAGCACCAAACAGAAAGTTCTATCGAATGCATAGTATGTTTGATGACAAATTAGATTGTAATGTTGTTCATTGATGCATTAATATTTATGCCCCTGAACGGTACTTATGGTTTTTTGCTGATGCTCCCCATCTCATCAAAACAGCAAGGAACTGTTTATATCACTCAGGTATGTAAATTATATTTAAAGTGTATTGGTTTACAGGCCTTTCCAGTAGAAAATTATCAGGTTATGGTTATTTCTTGCTGGAAAGTAATAATAAAATAACAGATTTTTATATTAAAAAGTATGAAATGCTTACTTATTTAGCTAAGATTAGAAGGGCTATGCAATGTTTTAAACCTCCCTAGATTGAGAGTTGAATTGTAGGCAATAATTTTGTGTTATATTAAGATTCAATCTTTTTTTATTTCAGGGGATGGAAGGGGTACACGAAGTCTTTGGAATGATGGACAACAATTGATTTGGTACCATATCACAAGAATAGTCAATGACGAAATGAAAAATGGGTTAAAAATTATACCAAAGTTAACACAGGATCATATTAAACTTAGTGCTTATTCTGTTATGAATGTAAGACTTGCAGCCCAGGTTTTAAGTAGTAGTGTCAGTAACATTTTAAAAAATTATTACCCTGATGATACAAATGGAACTGCAAAATTTTGTGAAATGTTAGATAGTTTTTTTGATTGCTTAAATGTGCGAAACAGCAGTGAAGGGATAATGAAACGCAAACCATTTTTATTACCATACACGGATGTTAATGACGAGCGTTTGACATGGCTACAGAATACATTTTTATGCTATCTAGAAAAATGGAAAGAGTGTATTATTAATCGTCCTGGTAACTTTTCCAACAATGCAAAAGGAAGAATGTTTATCTCTTGGCAAACATACGAAGGACTTCAAATAACTGTAATGTCTGTTATCGAATTGGTAAAATTTTTATTAAAAAGTGGTATGCCGTTTGTTTTGACTGAAAAATTCAATCAAGACGTTTTGGAGGAATACTTTGGTAGACAACGGAGTTTAGGTCGAAGAAATGACAACCCTACACTATATCAATTTGGTTACCAGTCAAATACCTTGCGATTGCAAAGATCAATTGCGCCGGTTACTGGAAATACTAAAGGTGGTCATGGTCAAAAACGTGAAGTATCTTGGAGTGTTGTTGATAATGAAAAGTTACCAAAACGAAAAAAAAACCTATAAATATAATCTAAATATAAACATAGCATATAACAAAATATATCAATTATTTGTATTAAGTTTAAAGTTTAAGTCTTTATTTATTGTTTGATTTACGTTTTATACTTTTTCTTAAAGATTTTACTTTAAAACTTTGATCATTGTTTTTTGCAGTTATATTTTTAGCCAATGAAAATGTACGAACTCTAAAATAAAGTTCTATCATTTTTTCTAACAAGTTAAGCTTAATTTCCTTATCAATAGACACGAATTTCACATCATCCACGATTGCATTGTAAAAACTTATAATATTAGGATCCTTTAATAGGTGTTTTGTTAAATTCTTACTTTCAATATTTCGGAGGTTAGCAACTGCAGTTTCTTGTCTAAAATGTTTCTCAGCTAGCAAGAAAATCTGATAGCATTCTTCACATACTGCTGTTAAACCCCCTCTGTTTTGGGTATTTATTAACTTTTCTGAACTTGAAACTTCTTTAGTTGTTTGAAGTAATAATGCAATTATAGCTTAATTGTACTGGCTTTTGTAATTTTTTGTTGTTTTTGCCTTTTTAAGTAGATTTCTTATAACATACCCAGACAAATATTTTAATCCATCCACTTCACGTGGTGAAATTTCTTCAACTTCAACATTCTTTGAAGGAGAGCTTTGAAAATGCTGAAATAATTTATTGCATAACTTTGTTGTAAATACTGTTGATGCAGGTTTCTTTAGATTAAAATATGTGTCTGAAAAGAGAACAATATTGCTATAAAAGTTGGAATAATACTTTTCAGCATTTCCAGATGATTTTAATTTTTTTGACATTTTTCTTATTTCATCAAAAAAGTTTTCTGTTATTTTTATTTCAAAGTCTTTTATTTCTGAAATAACTTCTTGAGGATAACATTTATTTGTTGACAAATCAGCTTTAGTTTCTGCAACAATTTTTTTTATATCTGTGACAAAATCATTATAATGCATATCTGTAAGACTCTTTATGGTATGTTTGTTTTTATTGTGTCGTGCTAAGCCTCCTTTTGTTTTATACGTTTTGGATTTGCAAATTTTGCACTTGAAGTCTCCAATATCGGTTACCTAATATATATTAAAAATAGCATTTATTATATATATATTATTTTAGTACGATTATCAACAGTAAATATTAGGATACAATAACTTTTAAAAATGTTTTTTTAATTTAACTTTATCATTTGCGTTAACCTTTACACCAAAATAAACCATTCTAATTAAAATTTAAAAATTATTATTACCTCTAATAATGCATTATCAAAATATTCTTGCAAATCTGGATTTAATTCATCATCAGCATTAATATTTATTATATAATCAAGCGTTTCGCCTGTAAAAAGTTCTTCAGAAAACGCCATTTAAAAATTTGTTTTGCACTAGATTTGATCACGTGACTACTTTTTACGATACGGTTTTAAAATAAGATTGAAACAATAGCTTTTCCAGACCAGGATTTCTATTAACTATGTCGGAATTATGCAACTATATATCAATAAGTTATAAAATTATGTAAAAATGATTTACAAGTATAATGTCTGAATCATCACATCCCCCTAAGTAAATCATGCAATACAAAATGTTTGAATCTGGTATTGAATGATATAATTTATTTTTATATTTTACTGTAATTGGAAATTTTTAAAGCTTTTGATATTTAACTTGTAGGACTTTTGTTTTCCTATAGGAATATAGAATAAAAGTGTTATGCTTACTTTAATTAGTAAAATTATTAGTCCAACATATCAATATTATTTTAGCCTCATTTAAAGATATTGTGATGTTATATTGGTATTTGATTTTTTTCCAAACTTACTTTTATGTAAACTTTATTTCTAAAATTCTTGTCATCTAAACGTTTTTTTCTTTTTGTTTATGTTTACAAAGGTAGTACGGACGATTTAGGTACACTTCTAACAGTTATAACCCGAAAGCGCAATCTCGTTTTAAGTTTTTCATAGGGGGACGGAATAATTCAGGCGGTGGGAATAATCTACTACAGTAACCAGCATAAAGTGATAAAAATGTGGACTGCAAAAATAAATTTTTTCTTGTAAAAATATATCTAGGAGAAAAATTACCAAACAAAATTTTGCTTAGATTAAAAGTAAATATTTTGAAACATTATACCACTCTTAACTGAGAAGTTATAACTTTCCGCTCTAGAATAAATATACCGCTCCGCGTTATTAACTAACCGGTTTTTAATAAAACCCACTACAATGAATCGTTATTACACTATGTTACTACAGAGGTAGCCAGTATTTTATTTCACTTCTAAAAAGTCTATTTATCGTAGAAAATTTATAATAAATAAAAAACTGGCTACCTCTGTAGTAACATGGTCTAATCAATCAATCTTAAGGGACACACAAAAGATATGATCCGAACATTTTTTTTTTCTTATCTTGGTTTTTAATTTACAAAATGTATCATTTATTTGATAATATGCAAAAAAATTGAGGAAATTCGGAAATTATCGTTTATGATCGTTTATGATTTAGTGAAAACCCGGGTTTCTTTACCCCTGAAAATCCCGCTCTTAAAAAGACAAATTTAAAAAAATTTGAAATAAATATTTTTTTTTAACCAATGCTATTTTATTTCAATTGAAAAATATTTAAAATATTAAAATTGATTTTTTTATCCAGAAAAGTATAAAAAATTCTATTTCCGCTTCGCGACGCATAGTGGGCTGTTTCAGAGTGGACATACGGGTTCTTGTTATTTTTTGAAAATAATTACTTAGGGGGTGTTACTAAAACTTTCATAACTTTTGAAATATTAAAGATAAATACAATCTGTAAAAAGAATATGAACACTGACTAAATGTTTTATATTTTATTATTCAATATAATAATTCAAGGCAGCTCTGATTTTTAAATAAACGCGTAAAATGACGAACTTGGCAGAATTTCGAAATTTCAAAGGTACTTTTTAGCAAAAATAATCAGAAAAATTATATTTCTGTTGACTAATATGTAATATAAACATAGTTAGACCAATTATAAAACATATTAACATTATTTACACCAAATGCAAACTGATACAAGCACTACAATAGACGAAATAAAAAAATTGCAAAAAATTTTTTTTTTTTAAAGATTTAGAACAAACAACTTTCCGGTCGTAGAATAATTTCCTGACACTTAGATCAATATTAGAATATTAACACTTTTCTGTGGAAAAATAACACATTTTTTATAAATATACGTAACAATATAGGCAATTTAAATAATTTGATAAATATCGTTTTGGTGGATTGACATAAATAATATTTTGTTCAGTTGATATATTTATATATGTTCTATAAGTAGAAAACGATCTTTGCATGCAATTGATACTAGTTTTATTTCCATTCCATATGGAAAACACTCTTCATAATCTTACTGATTTCTTATGTTAAATGTTGGCGCTTCATGCTTCTTCTGGAGTAAGGTTTAACTAATGATGCCCCATCCAACAATTTATGATGGTTCGTATTAGTTGTCGTTTATGCATGATTGAAAATTTTCTTTATGATCTGACTGAAACAAACTGTTGTGTAACTGCAAAGGCTTATTAGAATCATTTATTTTGTGGATTCTAACAAGCAAGAAATTTTTTTAGTTATTAGTTGGTCCAATGACTTGTTCTTAACTCTTTGTACATGCAGTTAGAACTATGTTGTATCCCATTTTTTCACCAGAAAGACAAAATTCTTTATGATGACTGAAACTGTAATGCTTACGTAACTGTTGAAGCACATTCAAAGTTAATAAAATACAATTAGTTTTTTAATATTATAATTGAACTTGATGGCCACAAATAACACAAAGACCTTTTCTATAAAACAATTTTTCGCCATGCTCTGAATACACAACACACTTTCATACTTTAGCAGCTTGAAGCTTTCTATCAGCTTTGCTGTGCAATTCAAAGCGTTTTAAAACAAAACGCAGCTTCTGTTCATGATTCCTTACTGAATGCAACTGTCTTAATTCCTGATTAACGCCGCCATGCAAACTCTCTCCTTCTTCATTCAGCAATCCAATAGTTATATGCGATTTAACAAATAGTGGCCCATTAAAAGTGAGTTCGTGGATTTTTTGCATAATACTTTCATTAGGAAAGCAAGCATGAAACTCACAAGCAAATAAATCTGTATATTGACATAGCTAAATAACTTCGGCATCGGAAAGAAATTTTCGCTTAAAAAGAATCGGCTGCAACTTATTGAAAACGCTAAACACACGCAAAAAAATATTTCTAATTGCCGCATCATCAATAACACTACAAAGTTTCAAGTGGTTTCTTAAAACTATTTTGCAATGATTACCAACAAATACATTACCATGGTAAGCTTGCCGCTGAACATTCATATCATCAAGGGCCTGCAGAAGATCCTTCTCATGAGTGCCCACGTCGCTTCTTGATATTTTTTTCAAGATTTGCGTATTCAATCTGCAATCGTGTATACTCATAATCTAAAATTTCTTGTTGTGCACGAATAAAATAAATTTTTTCTGAGATATACAGATGAAGATCTTCTATATCTTCACCCTGACAAGCTAAACATGCATAATTTTTTATGTCACACAATATACTCTTTTCAAAATCACCAATAATTTCACAATATTGATAAAACCACTCTTATCACGTACCACACTGCACCCAATCGATGGTAGAACTATACTTTGTAATTAAACATCTAATGCTAGTACAATTTTCTGGCTTTTTAATACTGATTTTTTTATCGGAGGAGTTTAGTGATGTGGATTCTAATTCAAAATCATTTTTATTACTGGCTATTCATCGAGCCTGTAGATTTACTATGTCTACAAACTGTTCCCCGATTAAGCGCAAGGCTGCTGTTGTTTTAGAAAATTCAACGCTTTTAGCGTTTAGCCTTTTAGAATACAGGGATAAAAAAACTTCTCAATAAAAATACAAAACAAACAAATAAAATCAAATAATAATTATTGACAAATAACAAGAATGCAATAGATACCAGAAGATTAAACTTATCTGAAGTTTGTAGATTAGCCACGAGAGAAAAAACCCGCCAAAGTTTGTTTTATACACTAAAATTTGTCTCGCTAAAATAGCTGTTTTAATAATTTTTATTTAATAATGAATTGGGAAGTAACGCATTTAAAGTTACGTATTTGCTTTAAAACGTAAACAAAAATTTTTCCTATGTAACAACAAATTTTGTAGCTAAATGCAACAAACTTTGTCAAGGTTGAAAACGTTTTAGTAAGAAGTACAGAAAGTAATTTTTTGATTTTCATGTGCATAAAGGGTTGTAATTTTAATAATTTGGTGAACTTGGCAAAAATATAACGTTTTTCATATAAAACAAGTAATAACAAAAATATAAAAGCTGAAAAATCCAACTTAAAATTTTTTTTAATCCATGTTCACTAAAAATCTGATAAAATAGACATTCGTTTATAAGTATGTAAAATTTCAACCATAAAGCATGAAGCTTAAAATATCTAATCTTGATTGGCCCAAGACAGGTTTTCCTTAAAATAGGCAAAAAACAGAAAAGTGATCCCAAATCATTAGCAAAACTTTTACAACTTTTATTTTTATTCCGTTTAATCAGAATACTTATTTAACAAGGAAAGATAGATGTTTCATTTTTTGTTATTAGAACACAAAAGCGTTTATAGAAAAAAAAAAACCATTACTTTAATGTTATTGAATTTTTATACTTTATATACCGAAATTTTTAAAAAACTTTTTATGCAGAAATTGTTTTTGCTAAACTCGTAATGCCCAATTTTACATTGCGTGAAACAGCCGTGGTTGATATAGTTATCTGGAAGCCTATTTCAGTATTCTGTGTTGTTGGAACAAACTGAAGCAGGCAATCAGTTAACAGAAAATCTAGCATAATTTAATGTAAGTACTCAAAGAAAATCTAACTATTATTAAACCATTTTAATAAAATAAAAATAAAACAAACAAGACTCGTAACCATAACAAAAAATAAGTTTTTATACTTGAGCCGTAAAAAACTGGCCTCTTAATTTTTTACGGAAAATGCAACAAATCAGGCCGTGTAATTTAAGTAGGCCATGTATATGTATATAATATATATATATATATATATATATATATATATATATATATATATATATATATATATATATATATATATATATATATATATATATATATATATATATATATATATATTATATATGTATATAATATATAATATACATATTAATAATATATAAACATAATAAATATATATATATCATATATATAATACATATATAAATAATATATATATATATATATATATATATATAATTTTAATATATATAATGTAATAATATAAATATATATTATAATATATATATATATATATATATATATATATATATATATATATATATATATATATATATATATATGTATATATATATATATGTATATATATATATATATGTATATATATATATATATGTATATATATATATATATGTATATATACACACGGTCAACTTACACGGTCTTGAACATCTTCTTTCCTTAAATGTAGCTTTTTCAAATCATCTGAAACACACTCTTTCCAAGTTTTTCTGTTTCAATAAATCTTTCAATATATATATGTAATATATATATATATATATATATATATATATATATATATATATATATATATATATATATATATATATATATATATATATATATATATATATATATATATATATATATATATATATGTATATATATATATATATATATATATATACATATATATATATACATATATATATATATATATATATATATATATATATATATATATATATATATATATATATATATATATATATATATATATATATATATATATATATATATGTATATATATATATATATATATATATATATATATATATATATATATATATATATATATATATATGTATATATATATATATATATATTAAGCGACTACCAAAATATACTTTTTTTCTCAGATCATATTGGCTCACTTTGGGATTTGTTGTACATACCATTTTAAGACTATCCTAAAAATTTCAGATCGATTTGAGTAAGGGTAATTTTGGGAAACGGTTTTAAAGTTTTAAAGTATTTTCTTGTTTTTCATGAAACATTCATTTTTCTGGCATTTTTAATATTTGTATACTTTATTACTAACTTTAATACAAATATTCTTTCCATTAGAATACTTGAATATAATGGAATGAGTATTTACCACATAATCTTAAACACTAGTGTAGGAACAGGGGTAGGAGAAAGCAACACCCTTCCCCCAACTATGTAAAGACCTACTCAAATTCCGATTACGGCTGCCTTAGCCCCTGTTTCTATCCGTTTCAACCCCCAACTTTCTTGACCTTCCTACGCGACTGATCTTAAATATTTTATACATTGGCTTCCAAACTACTAATGCTGTTGTATTTTTCAAGTATTTTATGTGTTTCGGTTGCCATTGTAATTCCTGTTCCATTTTTTATTTCAATATGAGTTAAATATTTCTTAGAAAAAGGTCCACTTTCTGCAGTAAAAGTTAAGTGATGTTCATCCTTTACTGTTCTATTAACAATAGGTTCAGCATTATGATCATATCCTAATATATGTGCTAATGTATTTTTGTCTTTTTTACTATCTACTTCAATGACTTTCAAATGGAAAACTTCTGAACAGTGTTTTTCACTAAACATGGTTGAAACACGCTTTTTAGTGTCAAATATCTTTTTTTCAGTGATAATTTGTGATCTGTCATTCTGAGTTATAATTTGATAGTCTATCAAGGTAGCAGTTGCTATGGCAGATGTTGCAGCATCACTAACTTGGAACCTAATGGCAGCTTTGGCAATGTTAGTTAAATCTGTGTAATTTTTTTCACACAGTGGTTTTGCAAAAAACTCACGATTCTGCTTTTTATAATCATCATCGTTATCTATTTCCATATCAGTTTCACTAATATAATCATTATCTGAATGGAGTGTTGTATCACTTTTCATATTAATTTTCTCCTTCTTTCTTTTTCTTGCAGTCATGGCTGTTTCTTTCTTATCAATTCGGCCTATCTGCCAGGTTCCAAAGGGCCCTTGCTTAACTTTCTGGTCCTTTAAATACTCTCGTTCTAGAACTGGAACCTTAGTTTTAAAAATATATACATTTAATAACTTGTAGAAAGTTTAAAATATTATTAAGCATAAATTAAAAAAATAATAATACAAAAAAAAAATTCAAATTTAACCTGTTTACTTTTTTCACAGAGACATACATAGTGCTTGTTAGAGCAACCCTTGCATCGAACATTTCTAAAGGGTAATATACAGTAATATATACAGTAAAATATATGGCAGTTTAGTCACAAATTTGTTTAAACAAAATTGTTTAATATTGTGGTTTTTTAAAAATGTATAACTTCAAACCTGTCATCACAATTTAAAAGAGGAAGTTCACATCTGCATGCTGATATATCAAATAACTTTAAAAGGTTATTTTCCAACCAACAAACACTATTTTTATGTTTTGAAGCTTTAGATCGTTCAGCTGCAATTACTTTTTGAAATGTTCTTTGTACCTTATTTCTTAGAGGTTTCTCTTTCATTAGTGGAAGATTTGGATTAACGTTTTTCCAAATTTTTAAAATTTCTTCACTCGCTTTTAAAACTACGGCTGGAGAGTCAATTTTTTCAGTTGTAGTTATTTCATTTTCGACCTTATAGGCATATTGAATAATCTGTTTATATGTTGGGAGGTCACTAACAGGTAGTTCATTTGGTTGTCCAGCATATCTTTCACTTTGATGTCTAGTTATAATATTATGTGTTCTTTTTCTTGGTGGTCGCCCAGATCCACATTTGTTATTCATTTTTAATATTTAAATTCAGTCTGAAAAAGATTTTTTATTAACTTGTTATATAAGATAATATCAAGTGAAAATACTATAAAATACAGAAGCTAAATATATAGCTAATATTTCTATACTTTATCTATGTTAGATTTTATATAATATTTTATATCTTAAAACATTGTAAAAAGTAACTTTTTCCTAACAGAAAAAATGGAAACGCATTTAAAAATGGCAAACTTGTTGTTTTTGTACCAATTTATGACGCGAAAATAACATTTTATGTGTCGTTCTGTCCAATTTCGCAATAATTGAATGGAACCATAAAAATGTCACTTGTTTTGTTTTTCCAAAAAAAATGACAAATTTTTGAAATTTTTTAAATTGATAATAATTTTATTGAATATAAATAGAACATTCCCCAAAGTGAGCCGAGTATTGACTTTAACTTGGTAGTGGCTTAATATATATATATATATATATATATATATATATATATATATATATATATATATATATATATATATATATATATATATATATATATATATATATATATACATGTCACCCCCCCTCCCCCATCAATGATTTTTAGTCGGCAAATTAGGCCTTTAGTTGCCAAATTGGACCCTTTTAGACTAGATAGTCGGCAAATGTCGACCCTTTCGTTATAGGTTAGTCGGTAATCTAGACAGTCGGCAAATGTCGTTTTGATGGCTGTTTATTATTTGTTAGATTTAACGTATCCTTTTTGTTTTGGGAAGCTTCTGGGATGTTTGCAAGATATTTACTATCTAAAAAATGCATTTTACTATCTTAAAAATGCATTTCAATTTTGCAATCTTTTCATAGCAATGCGAAGTACTTTTGACTTTATCAATGTTAATTTTTATCAAAATTAAATTCTTCAATTATTTTCTTGATTATGAAAAATGATCTAATATAAATATATTAGGGTGTTAAACTGCATGATTTTTTTTTTTAATTAAACTTTTATTAACATAAATATGTTCAAGGTTAGTTTGAGGAATTATTTGGAAACCGCAAAAATGGAAATTGATCCCTTTTAGAGATATTGGCTATAAAACAAATTCAAAATAGTGAATTTTGAGTTTTATAATGCTATTTTGTTCAGATAACTCAGCACCACAAAAAACACCAAATTTGTTTATGCTGCATTTATACTTTTTGTATTGAAGATACATACCTAAAAATGTCAAATTTTGAATTCATTGTACACCCTGTCAATTTTCGGTCCGTAAATTGGCCAATAAGTTCCCCGAAATAGACTAAGTCTTTAATATTTGAAATTATTTTGAAAGAAAAAATTATTTGTTATTAAGTTGAAATTCTGAAGAAATCTTTTTGGTCCATAAAATCTACAGGAGGTATATATTTCAAGAAAATAAAACATTGTCACCCGAGAAGGCTTGGCTCATCTTATATGGAATGACCCTCTTATATGCTTATAATATATAAACTTTATACTATAATGTGTTATTATTGTAATATATTGTATGATATTTTTATAATAAATTTTTTCTAGTAATATAATATAAATAAGTGTAGTATTATTAAACTAATTAAATTGTGCTAAATAATGCTGTTTAATAATGTTGTTTAATAATTGTGTAATAATGGTGTTTACCTCTTACCGTCTGACCTCTGTTTGTTTATTATTACTGCTTTTAACATTAACTTAGTATTGCAAGTATTAAAAAATGTTTAATATACTATTTGTAAAATTAAAGTAGTATAAACTAATAATAACTGCTTTAGAGTAGAGCGGGGCTAGTTGAGCAAAGGGGCAAGTTGGGCAACTAAAGTATCTCAAAAACTACTCATCCCATGGCAAAACATCTAATGGATAAAAGATAGGTATTTAGAATGGTAACAAAATACGCATCAAATAGTTGTTGGACCGCGGTTCAGTAACATGCACAGACTCTTTTTCGATTTTGGACCAAAAAAGTAAAAAAAAATATTTTTGCTATTTTTCTCATAGATGCTTAAAAAAACATTTATCTGTAATCACTTAAGTGTTTATATTTTACCCATTTATTTGGCTATTGATTATACTTATCCTTTTTTTCCCCAAGCCTTATAGTTCTTTTTATAATCTAACTGATGTGTCGCCTTGTCTAGTAGGGGTAAGTTGAGCAGATTTGACAACGAATTATAAAACGGCTTTATCAGACGCGAAGATAAAATTTCGTTTGGTGAACATTTTAAGGTCCATTCACCTTTTTAAATTAATCATTATAAAATACTCATAACAATTATAAGGTAATATCTTAAACCTTTTTTTTTTTAATATGTATTTATAATTTAAAATTATTTGATTTTTTAATATTTTTAAAATATTTTTACTTCAATATTACGTGGTCAATAAAATCTTTAAGTTTATTTATACAATATATAAATAATTTATATATATTATCTAATATTACTACACACACACACACACACACACACACACACACACGCGCGCGCGCACACACAGATATATTATATATTTATATAGGTACGCGCACTGAAATTTTTATATTGATCATATAGTAGAATGTTATATATCATTAGAAAGGCCTTCAATACAGTATTTTAAAGGTGAAAAAATTATTAAAAATGAACAATTCTAAAAAAAGTTATAACATTTTTAGTAGCAAATTTTAGATATATGGAATTGTTGAAGAAACTGTGGTCAAATTAATTATTTTTTTCACTTAAATTGTTATAAATTTGTCAATTTTTATCCAAATACATTTCAAATATAATTCTTTCTGGAGTATCTGTTAGAATAGCAGCTTTCCTTTTTCTTCGTCTTGTCAAATGTATCTTTCTTGGTACTGCTTTTGGGTAAGGTCGCACAGTTTCTGGAGAAAATGCTTTAGGAGTTTCAGGAATAAGTAACATTGTCTCTTTATTAATACTACTTTTGACAGATTGACCTGAAGATGATGTTAATGTTATACTTCAGAATGAGCTACGTGTGATAGCTCAGAAACAAGATTTGCTGGTTCAATACGATCTGTGACAAATGATGGTAAAAAATCATCATCAGCAAAAATGTTTGCATTGTACGGATATCTTGGTATCAGAAGATAGGTTAACTAATGGGCTACAGGTTTATTTTGGTGCCTGGATGAGGGTGTATTTTGGGAGCCAGAGAAGGTAATGAAACACCATCTAACCTTTAAAAAAATACAAGTTTTTGTCAGAAATAAGCACTTTTTTTAATGTAATTGTTATATTTTCTACACAAAATATTGCTATAACTTGATTCCAAAACACTGCCAAACAAAATAAGGTGATTTTAGAGTTGGCCATAGATGCGGTTGTGATGTTATAACATCCTAAATACAATAATCATACTTTCTAATAAACAATTCAATCTTTTTTACAATAAGTAAATATTTTGTTAAAAATTAAAAAAAAAATTTTTTTCACTATAAAACATTAGTGATGTACAATTAGTGATGTAATGATACATTAGTGATGTACAACACTAACTTTAGGGGAGGGTGTATGTTTTACCGCCCCCTCCCCCTCCCCCCAACTCATAAAAAATAAAATTAATTTTATCTTTATTACAATAATTAAATGCATTGTTAAAAATTAAAAATAATCTTTTATTACTATTTAACATATATTATTGATGTACACATTGACTTGAAATGAAGGAAGTATGATGCACCAACTCCCCCCCTCCCCCCACCTGACAAAAAATAATCTTTTATAACTATACAACATACATTAGTATTGAAAATATTTTTGTATTACACAAAGCAATATTTTTTTACTATAGAACATACATTAGTGATGTAAAATTTGAGGTGAGGGATGGTTTTCCCCCTTCCCCTCAACCAACATAAAAAAGAAAACACAGAAATGACATTTTCACATGCAATTATTAAAAAAGAGAAAGCACAATACATAATTGTTTTACTAGATTACAAGTTGCACTTGTATACATTTTCTCATTTAAATAATCATATTTAACCCACCAACCTAATAAAAAAAATAAAAAATAAAAATGTTTTGAAACATAGTAACTACTCTATGTCTTGGCTTTTAGTAAATGATTTTAATTTTAAGTTTGAAATGACCTATAAGCTCGATATGTAAGCTCTAAAAACAAATAAAATATTAATGTATTTGTAATTCATGCAATTAAAAATTATAAAATTTAAAATAAATACTTACTAAGACAGTTTGTCTGAATAAATAATATAAAGAATGATTAATGAATCAATGAAATTTTTAATAAAAGTTAATCAGAATAAAAATTCAAACATGTATAAGCTTCTGATACTCTTTTTGTAGCACTTGGAGAGATAAAAAAATACAAATGCATTCATAGTCTAAAAAGTAATAGTTTTTAAACTTACTTGACGTGACAGCTGAAGATGTAACTATATAAAAAAAGGTTTTAATTAAAAACCAGTTGATTAGAAATGCAATTGCAAAAAAGAATATGCAATTGATAAGAAATGCATACACATGTTAAAAGAAAAAAGGTTTTGAAACTTACCAGATGTAGCACACGTAGAAAAAACTAAAGGTAAAAAATATATTATAAAAATCAATATTGCAATCAATGAGAAATTTGTGCGCATTAAAAAGAGTTATTTAACTTACCAGGTGTAGCACAAGAGGTAGATACTAAAATTACAAAGTTGTAACAAAAAATCAATATTTTAAATAACGAGAAATGCATACACATAAAATGTAATAGTTTTTTAAATTACTAGTTGCGGCACATGACTAAGGAACTAAAGTTAAACATATTGTAAAGTTTTCACATTAAAAAGTATGAGTTGTTTAACTTACCAGGTGTTGCACAAAAGGTAGATACTAAAATTAAAAAATTGCAGCAAATGGGAAATCCATACACGACAAGTAATAATTAAATAAGTAGGAAATACATATATTTATTTATATTTCTTTAATGGTTAATAAAAGTTATGCTATAATAACTTACCAGCTGTAGTCTATGCATATTGGACTAAAGATAACAAAAAAACTGTATAACAAAAAAAAAACATCTTGAAATTGTCAGCAGTCAATAAAAATAAGTTAATTCTGCTTTACGTGCAACAACTTTACTGACAAAAAAAAAAGTATTAAAAAAATAATAAAAAACAAATTATAATAATGTATTTTAAAATTATATTACTGTATATTAGAAAAACACTAACAAGATATTTTTATAAGAATAAACTTATTATTGTAAAAGTATCCTAATTTTTTTTACAAAAATAAGCTTATTATTATAAAAATATTTTGTCAAAAACGTTATTGGCTTAAGCCAATAATGTTTTACTTTAAAGTATAATAATGTCGTTTGTGTATTTTTATATATATGGTGTATTAAAAACATTGGCATCTGATACTATTAGGTAATAAAATATTCCAAAGTAACGATTTAATCTTAAATCCTAATCTTTTTTAATATACCATCATTGGTATATATAGTTTAAAAAACCTTAATCTTTGTTTACATGCCATGTAAGCAAAGATATATATATATATATATATATATATATATATATATATATATATATATATATATATATATATATATATATATATATATATATATATATATATATATATAAGATGTTCGATCTCTTGCTTATGAGTGTGCTCTTCGATACAAAATCAAAATACCAGATTCTTGGACAGTAAAGCTGGTAAAGAGTGGATGACTAGTTTTTTAAAAAGAAATCCTCATTTATCTATAAGGAAACCTGAAGCAACTAGCCTTGGTAGGGCAACATCATTTAACGCTGCAAATGTAAAAGTATTTTTTGATAAGCTAGATGAAGTTATGGATATATACAAATTCAGTGCTTCACAAATATGGAACGTTGACAAAACTTATGTATCTACAGTTGTAAAACCTAGTAAAATTGTGGCTGTAAAGGGCAAAAGAAATGTTGGTGCTATGACATCTGGGGAAAGAGGCACTAATGTCACAATGGTAGCCGCTGTATCTGGTTCAGGAAATACAGTACTTCAAATGTTTGTGTTCCCTCGCAAAAATTACAAAGATTATTTTGTTAATAATGGTTCACCGTACTGTATTGGGGTAGGTAATGGAAGTGGCTGGGTTACAGATATTGAATTCAAAATTTTATGCAGCATTTGATTAGGCATGTGAAGCTTTCAAATGAATACAAAATTCTGTTAATTTTGGACAATCACTCTTCTCACTTGCATTTTGAAACACTAAACTTAGCAAAGGAAAATGGAATAGTCATGTTATCTTTCCCACCACACTGCAGCCATAAGCTGTAACCACTAGATGTATCAGTGTTTGGACCTTTTAAAAAGTACCTATCAGTTGCAAAAGATGCATGGCTGAGAAACAATCCATTAAAAGCCATAACAATTTATGATATACCAAAAATTGTATTTGATTCATTGCTATTAGCTATAACGTGTACCAACATTACAAAGGGTTTTCAAAAAACTGGTGTATATCCGTACAATGCAAACATTTTTGCTGATGATGATTTTTTACCATCATTTGTCACAGATCGTATTGAACCAGCAAATCTTTTTTCTGAGCTATCACACGTAGCTCATTCTGAAGTATAACATTAACATCATCTTCAGGTCAATCTGTCAAAAGTAGTATTAATAAAGAGACAATGTTACTTATTCCTGAAACTCCTAAAGCATTTTCTCCAGAAACTGTGCGACCTTACCCAAAAGCAGTACCAAGAAAGATACATTTGACAAGACGAAGAAAAAGGAAAGCTGCTATTCTAACAGATACTCCAGAAAGAATTATATTAAAACTGCAGCAAACTAAGAAACCTAAAAAAGTTTAGAAATAAAAAAATTTATCTACCTGTCAATTCCTTTCAAATATTAATAAAAAGTGTGGTAATAAAGAGACTCAGTTACATAGTATATTTAAGAAACAAGCAAACAAAATAACTGAGAAGAAAGAAATTTTAAAGAAACCAAAAAAAAGTTCTGGCAGTTAAATTTTTGCAGATCATGGTAATAAGGAGACTCTGCTGCTTACTATATTAAAAAAAGTTAAAAAACAATCAAACAAAAAAACTAAGATGACAAAAAAATTAAAGACAAGTGCAGAACACGATTATGCTTGTCTTGTATGTTGGGAAACTTATGCTGAAAGTCTACCAGAAGAAAGTTGGATCCAGTGTCAAGGTTGCAATCAATGGTCTCATTCAAAATGTGATTCACATTCTGGTCAAAATTATATTTGTATTAACTGCAAAATGGAAATTGAAGACTAACATAAAGTGTTTAGTTATTATTTTATCATAATATTAACAAGTTTTAAAATGTTTTAAAAAAGTTGTGTTTAGTTTTAAGATTAAAAAGTTTTGTTTTTGTTTTTATTTTAGTATCAAAATTATTAGTTTTGATATTCATATCTTAAATAATTTGTTAAAATTGAAAGTATCTATTTAATTTATAAGGAAATTTTGTTTTGGTTTTATAACAGTCTTAGTAGTTATTACTGAAATGCATTTATTTTTTTATTGCTCAACTTACCCCACGCAATTGCTCAACTTTCCCCGCTGGGGTAGGTTGAGCAGCCTAATAAACTTCAGACAATATTTTCTAAAACAAATCGAAAAAAGTTTTTTTGTCTCAACCATTTTTTAGCAGATCAAATTATCTTTCTAATAGTGAAAAAATTATATTAATCGGATGTACCGTTCAAGAGATCTGTTAGATTTAGTAAAAATTGCCCAACTAGCCCCGCCCTACCTTACTGATTTCTACAATAGTTAATAATAGTTGAAAATAATAAAGGCTTTTGTTGTCAAATTTCTTGGGGAAAGAAAATTGTTCTCACTTGTAATATTGCTGACATTTTAACTAATGGTAAGCATATTTTGAATTGCAATGGTTCACATTCTTTTTTCTTTTTTCCATTTAATATATTAATAATAATTTTTTATTTTATGGTTGTGATAATTATTTTTTATTTATAAAATTTTAGTGTGATTCACTACATGAATACTTATGCCAAAGCTTATATTGTCCACAAGTTATCTCAAATAAAACAGAATATGATGTAAGAAGTTGAAGAGGTGTCGAAATGGATGTTCAGCCTTTGATCAGTACATATAGTGGTTGTTTTGATGGTTGTTTACTTTTTGCTAGATTTGATATATTCTTGTTTTGGGCGGCTTCTAGGATGTTAGCAAGATATTTGAGGCTTTTTGCAATTGGCTTTATCATCTAAAAATGCATTTTTTTTTTTTGGAATCTTTTCAAAACAATGCAAATTACTTTTGAATTTATAAATGTTAATAAGTTGTTTTATTCAATTATTTTGTAAATAATTTATTCAATTATTTTGTAAATAATTTATTCAATTATTTTGTAAATAATTTATTCAATTATTTTGTAAATAACTTATATAATTATTTTGTAAATAATTTTCATGGTTATCATAAATAATATAATATAAATATATTATGATTTGAAACTGCATAATTTTTATTTTCTTATTACAACTTTTATTGACAAAAAAAATGTTTTTTTGTCAGTACTTTCTAGTTTTTTCAAGTACTTTCTTTTGTCAAGTACTTTCCACTCAATTGTCAAGTACTACCTCTTTTGTCAAGTACTTTCTGCGAATAGTCATGCAGAATTATACGTTTCTTTAAAAAGATATTTTTCATTTTACATAACGGGTAATTACCCGTTATGTTAGGTTTTCAACATAACGGGTAATTACCCGTTATATAACGGGAGTTTATATAACCTCGCACTTAACGGTAAATTAGCGTTATGTAACAGTTATGTTTAAGGCAATTTTGCTATGACTAAACATAACGCTAAAACCGTTATATTATTTTCATACATTTTAAGTATTAAACATAACGGCACTTACTCGTTATGTGCGAGGAAAACTCCCGTTATGTTTTTTAAAAATATAACGGGTATTTTATTTATTGTGTATGTCCGTTGACTTCAACTTCAGCTGTTAGACCATTATGCAGTGCTACTATACTTCCTTTTAACCATCGCTGTGTACACCGTGTCATACGCTTAGGCTTCACCCATACTTTATCGCCAATTTTCCATCCTTGATACTTATTCTGAGACTTTTGTGTTGACTTTGTTGATTCCAGGAATTCGGACGCGTTTGTATTGATGGCAAAAGATTTCGAAAGGTGTGCCATGTTTTGATGGTACGTTGTTGATTAAGAAGACAGACATGGGTATTCCACATTTCGCTCTTGCATTTATTCTTTTTACTGTCCGATGAACTCTTTCAACAATTCCATTTCCCGATGGTTTTTCAACAGCTCGATAAATAATTATTATTTCCCACTTCAACGCCATAGCCTGCATAGTCTGAGATCTAAACGACTTAGAATTATCTAGGAGAATTTCGGAAGGAGGTCCAAGCGATGACCATATTGTTTCTAACGATTGAACAACCATTGTTACACTTTCGTCGCTTAATTGTGTCAACAACGTGTATCTGCTTGGGCCACAATCAATACAGGTAAGATACAGCAATGAATCAACGTGAGTAACCTCGCAGGCTACTCTTTCCCACACTTTGCTGACAGCAAGATTTCCTTTATCCCACGAAATCACATTAGGACCAATTGAATTGCATTCATCACATTCAGCTACAATTTGTTTCACTGTATCTCTGCTAACGTGGATACCAGCAGGCGAAAATAACTTCATACTCTTGGAAACTCCCATGTGTGCTATTGAGTGAACTTTTTTAATCTGCTGATGATCGTGCTTATAGATGATATTACATTCTTGCGTTGCAACTTTGTTTTTTATCCATTTTGTTGGCACTCGTGTGAGTTCATCTGCGATATTTTTTGTTGTTGGTACGCATATAACATTTACACTTATGGCATAATCCTTGACCAATTTTTCAAACATTTAAAGCCTTCGTCGGATTAGCATTTCACATTGCCTAGCACATTTTACAGGTTTGTCACGAGTCAATTCTGAATTTAACTAACTGAATACACCATGAGAATCAGTTTTGATAGAGACATCACTTGGGTTCTATTTCAATGCCATATTTCCAATACATACATCAATACTTCAATACATACATCCAATTCAGCCACGTTGATATGCATTGCATCAGACTTTGGTTAAAGCCAAGTTGCATCTTCTATTTTTTTGTCACCTTACATTATAACAACTCCTTTTGCGAGCGAACTTGCATCACACTATACAGTTAGAAATGCATTTGGTTTGACATTCCATACGCTTTTGGTGGATCGAATTTGATCACTTTATCCACGACTTCCTGCATCATTTCATTTATGCACTTATTTTTAATAGGTTCATCACAACCTGCTTCGTTTGTTCATCTCTTTATAAAGCTGCATGGGAGTCTCAACGATCCAGCAACTGGCTTAGCAACCAGATTACCACATAATGAGAATATCTCCCTTTTGGTGAGCACATTTTTAATAATAGGAATCTCGCGTCCTCTCTTCCAAAACATTTCCTTTGTAGATGGATTTACTGTTACTTCCAATTATAGAACACGAACTGGATTTTGCCAAAATATTTAGGTGTTTTCGCGTGAAGACACTATTTCTTCATATGTGCCACCAGCTTTCTTTAATTTCCATTGGTTGCTATGGTGGCATCAATGTATCCTCTTGTTGATTTTGCAAGTGCAGAATTTTGTTGGAGAACATATCGTAGTATTGAGCTCATCATTACAGGTGCTAGATTCAAACCAAAACCAAAACGTGTAAGCGCATATCGTTGATCCTTGTAAATTACAGTTTGGTAAGGCCAATGCCGTTGTTGTTTTTACTCATGAGTCTCCAGTCCCTCATTGCATCGTTGATGACATCCGCATCCCTTGTAGAGGCTTTTACATAGGTGTTAAGTTTGCGATAATCAAGCACCGGTCTTATCTTCTTTTCATTATCTTGAATGATGCACATCAACGGTAGTAATCCTTTTGCTTTTCCCATAATTTTATTGTCGTATTTGATAAATATGTCTTCTTTGATCCATTCACGAATTTCGTTGTCAAGCGCCTCACAATGTTGTACTGACTTGTTCTGTTTTTCATTTTAGGTTCCGTCTCCCTCTCCCAACTTACAATCCATTTTTTGCCATCAAAATAAGCTTTGCTTGTTCCAATTTCAATTATCACAACACAAGGTGTTGATGATAATTTAATCAGAGAGTTACAGAATTTCAATTTTCCAGTGCCAACTTTCAGTTCATCACACGATTTTATTAAATCCATACCCATAATCATATCGTACTAGTTTATTACTTCATCCATACATAACACCAATGCATCCATCAAGCACCCGTTTGTTGGGTAGTGTATTTTAGTAACAACTTTACATCAAATCATTCCGCCTATTGTTGCAACATTCACTGCACGAACTACATTATAGTCAGTTGGTAGTAACTTCTTGGTGATGATTGATTGCGAGCAACCAGTATCCACAAGCGCTGTAGCGTTTCTTCCGTTTATTACCAAGTCGATAGTTGGTAGTATTGTTTCGGGACGATTTCTTATAAAAATACCTTATGCGAACTCGTCCTATTTAAGTTTCTCTGGTTTTGTCGACGTTTGTAGCAGTCCTTCGCAGTATGTTTATACGAGCATTCTTGCATTAAGGAGGTACACTCATGTGCAAAGTGATTCAATGATTGACAGTTGAAATGTTGCATTTCTTTCTTTATTCGTATATCATTTGACATTGCAGTCTCAGTTGTTCGGTAACTTGCATTTACTTCTTCATTTACAGATAAACATGCTGCATCTAATCTAGTTTGGACAATCACAGATGCCGTCTTAACAAAACCGTCAAAGCTCAACGCATCTTCTCCCCGAAGAATGGTACGCAGAACAGCACAACCATTGATCCCAATGATGAATTGATCACCAAGTGGGCCGTCTCTCTCTGAAGGCATGAACTTGCATTCTTGAGCTGCTCGGATCACTCGATGCGCAAACGTTTGTATCGATTCTTCATCGCCACGATAAGTTTTCCCAAATTCATACTGTGAGATTAACAATGATTTTCTAATTTTCAACGTTTCCAGTTTAGTCACCAACTCTTCGTAAACGTCCTCAGGCAGTTTAGGTGCTGTTAATTCCTCCATGGTCTTGTAAATCTTCGACGGCAGTGTAGCAAGCAAGTATGCTACGTGTCAATCGGAAGTAATATTGTTCATCACGAAAAAAGAAGTCAACTGCCGAATAGTGTCCTTCGCGGTTGTGTCACGCCCGGTTAGCTTGTTGTTCAATGCATTTAGATGCCATTTTGTTTTTAATGTTTTTATTACTTATCAACAATCTCAACGTTTTTACAACAAATTTGTTCACTATATATACTATTTAAAAATTCAACTTGTGACTCTTGTCAACAATTAGTGGTCGTTATACAAAACATTATAATAATAAAAATATGCACCGTGTGACTATTGTCAATAATTAGCAAAGCTAATTATTGACAAATTATTGACGCACATAAACATCACAACATACAACAAACCTTTTATATGCATTACGAGTTTTGACTAATTTTATATAACAAATATTTAAATGTGATGCTCAACGATAACAAATATTGTGATGGCTCAACGAATGCAGTTGTAAAATTAGCGTATTATTTTTATAACATATTAAAATATTTTTTCATTAAAATATCAAATTTATCATTTTTACTTATAAATGAAATTATTAAAACTTTTTATTTATTTTTTTTAATATTTTATATTTTATAAACTATTAATTTGTTTATTATAGTATAAAAAAATGACCAGAAATTCTTTAAAAAGGATATATATGTTTTAAGAAAATGTAGCAATAAGAAATTCAAATAAATATAATTCAATGTACAACTCATAATGTGTATATTGAACTACATTTTTTTGTAAGAACATATATTATATGTTCCACGCATAATTTTTCACAAAAACCTTTTCTAAAGGACAGCAAATAAGTTATTCTGAAAAGGGTGCTCACTTCTTTTCATTTATTTGAAGTTATATTTTCGATACTATTTTGAATTTTGCTATTAGATTCAGGTTATATTTCTTATATTTGATGATTTAAGGGTATAAAATTATATAAGTATATTATTCTCGATGACAAAGAGTTAATGTATATATATATATATATATATATATATATATATATATATATATATATATATATATATATATATATATATATATATATATATATATATATATATATATATATATATGTTTAAATATATTATAGAAACTTTAATGGTTTTTTGTTTGCTTTAGTAAGTTAAAAACATGGCGGAGTTATCAAAGTCATTCTTGGAAAATAAAGATCCAGTAGACGATTATATTATAAAAGAAACTTTGAATGAACCAGCTGTGTTGACAGAATTAATGGAATATACTATTGCTAACGTTCCAATGTCATTTATGTTATCTGATCCAGTTCAGCTTCAGCTATTTCGCATGCTTCTCAAAATGCTAAATGCCGTCAAATGCATTGAAGTAGGCTCTTTTACAGGCTACAGCGTGTTAAACTGTGCCCTTACTATTCCTGAAAATGGCGTTGTGTATGCCCTAGACATAACAGATGAATACATAAGTCATGGTCGACAGTTTTTTGAAAAAGCAGGAGTGAGTAAAAAGATCAAAGAGTATATAGGTCCAGCATGCGAAACTCTGCAAAATTTTATTAATGAAGGTGAAGCAGGTACTTTTGATTTTATTTATATTGACGCAGATAAAGTTGGTTACCCGTTGTATTATAATTTGAGCATTGAACTTTTGAGATCAGGTGGAATATTAGCCTTAGATAATGCTCTACTTTGGGGACTTATGGTAAACCCTGCAGCAGCTTCATTGGAAGATAAGGAAAAAGTAATCGCAATGAGTGAAGTAACAAAAAAAGCTAGAAACGACAGCCGGGTAGATATTTCTTTATTAAAAATTGGAGATGGAGTTTGTTTGTGCCGAAAACGCTAAAGGCTAACAAATGAGACGAAAACAAAAAATGTTGCAATTTAAGCTAAACCAAGCAAACACATGAAATCTAAAAAAAAAAGTCTTTTAAATGTCATTTGCTTGCTGGCGAATCGCTAAACTTTGCAATTGCCGCATTCAATTTGTATGTTGTATTAAATAGAATTTTTTTTTTTTTTAAGTTAATCTTTGCATTTTAAGACTGAAATATCTTCTTAATATTTACGTTGTTATATATTTGAACATTACCGAAATAACATCTTTTTGCACAAATATTATTTTCATGACGTAATGACTTTATACTAAAAAAATCACAACTTAAGTTATTTTTTTGTATTAACATTATTTAATATGTTTTCTTGATAAACATAATTTTTATAAAAAATTATTTTTTGTACTTTCTAATTTAATAATAATCTGTATTTAACGTTCGTTATTTAAATTAATAACCTGTATTTAAGGTTCGTTATTTAAAATAACCCGGTGGGAAGCGAGCTAGCGACTAGCTAGCTTTAAGGCGATTTTCGAGCGATTTTTTTTTTCTTATTAATTTTTTCCTTAAGTCTTTAACATCATTGAAAATTCGATTTTTAGTGTTGGATCTATTATAATTATGAAAATAATTGAACTTTAAACATTGCGATATTGTAACGATATATCGCTAGCTATATATCGCAGTTTTTTAGTCAGCGATTTTATTACGATATGACACTAGCTACATATCGCATTTGTTTAGCTGGCAACTAGATAGCAATATATCTATAGCTATTCGATAACTACATATCGCAGCTTCTTAGCTATCGATTTAATTACGATTAATCGCTAGTTACGTATCGTAGCTTTGTAGCTAGTTACAAGCTAGCCACAAATCGATAGCTAATTGACAGCTACATATCGCATTTTTTTAGACAGCGATTTTATTACGATTTATCGCTAGTTACATATCGCAGCTTTGTAGCTAGCTACAAGTTAGCCAAAAATCGATAGCTAGTTGATAGCTACGTAACGCAGTTTTATAGACAGCGATTTTATTACGATATGACACTAGCTACATATCGCATTTGTTTAGCTGGCAACTAGACAGCGATGTATCTATAGCTATTCGATAGCTACATATCACAGCTTCTTAGTTATCGATTTAATTACGATTTATCGCAAGTTACGTATCGTAGCTTTGTAGCTTGGTACAAGATAGCCACAAATTGATAGCTAGTTGATAGCTACATATCGCAGTTTTTAGATAGCGATTTTATTACGATTTATCACTAGTTACATATTGTAGCTTTGTAGCTAGCTATAAGTTAGCCACAAATCGATAGCTACTTGCTAGCTATATAATGCAGTTTTATTGACAACGATTTTATTACGATTTATCGCTAGTTACATATTGTAACTTTGTAGCTAGCTAGAAGGTCGCCATAAATAATGCTAATAATAATTGAACTTTAAAAGTAAGGATTTTATTACGATATGTCAACAGCTACATATCGCAGCTTTTTAGCTATCGATTTAAATGCGAAATGTTGATAGCTGCATATAGTTGTGATTTAGCTAGCTAGAAGATAACGAAAAGTCTTTAGCTACATATTGCGGCTTTTAAGTTATCTATATTTTAGCACGAAATGACGATAGTTTTTTAAACAGTTGTTGTTTATGCGCACTGTTCCAAACGTGTGGAAATAAAATGTTGGTAAGATGGTAGATGAGCGTGGTAAGTTTTAACTATAAATAACAATATTTTATTTAGTTAAGTTTAACGATGAATAATAATGATGTATTTAGTAAATTAAAAACACTGATGGTGTTTTTAATTTACTAAATACAATCTCGTCATATATATATATATATATATATATATATATATATATATATATATATATATATATATATATATATATATATATATATATATATATATATATATATATAATTTTAATGCAAGACCGGAATTTTTTTATTTTATTATTTTATAGACTGCCTGCCCAAACCAAACCCTCAGTCGATGTAGCAGCACTCCTTTGCGAGTCAGGCTTTTTGTCAGTCAGGCTATAAGGTAGTCAATGTAGCAACACTCGCGCATAAGTTACAGTAAAAAAAATAAAAATAAAAACATTTTATTTAAAAAAGGTATTGTGGTTTCCCAGTGGGCATCGGACCACAAAAAGACGTCTTTTGAACGTGCAAAAGACGTCCAAAACGTTCAAAAGACGTTCAAAAGACGTCCAAAACGTGTAAAAGACGTTTAAAAGACGTCTTTTTTACGTCCGTGTCCACTGGGTTATCTTCCTCTGGCTAATTGCTATATAGAGGCCACATTACAAAGGTCCGCAAAGACAGGTTCGGCTCCCAAGGAGCGTCATAACCCGCTCTACGGACCAAGAGTAAAGTGAGTTTAGGAAGAACGAAGAATGTTAGAGTTAAAGATAGAAGAAGTCGTGTTAGAAAGATAGTAAGATCGTAAGTTCAGCGTAGTTTTGGTATTCACCAATGTTTCGCAGCATTTCCGTAAAGTTAGGGTTGCGCATGAGTTGCGCCAAACTTACGCAAAAACTTACGCAAAAATCAAAAAGCAAAAATCAACCAAGTTATTCAAATTTTTGTTTGAATAAACCAAGTTTTCGTAATTTTATAAAACAAACTTTTCTAATATTGAATTCATATAATTTCTAACTAATTTAAATTAGGGGTTATTACTAATTATAAATATTAGGAAAATAGTTTCAAGTTGAAAAGAGGTAGAGAGGGTTCAGAATTGATTATTCTACAAAGTGGTTATTAAGGGCAGATAAATTTTTAAATTGTTTAATATGCAATTAATAAATAACAAAAAAAACTTTCATTTTTTTCATTCATAAATATCACGTAAATCATAAATATCCCCTATCCCCTTCAATTTAATAACACAGTTTTAACTAGTGTTCTTTGTACAATGCCAAGTCGAATTGGTTGACTTGTATTAATTCAACCTGAACATAGTGTATCTTCGTTGTTATCCTCAAAGTTTATGTCATCTGGAATTTTTAATCCTAAGGAATTGTAAAAGTCTTCCAGCAACTTACACTTAAATTATATTTTGCAATATATAGTTTGGGTAAGCATATGTTTAGGAGCACTGAACTGTGAAATAGAATATTTATAAAGATATACTTGCTTTTTTGTAAATATAAAGTTTTTTATTAATATTTATAAAGATATAGTTGTTTTTTTTATGAATATAATAATTCAATAATTATATATATTACCAAAATCATAACTGCATTATAACAATACAGCATTTTTTTAAATATAATCCAAATAATATACAATATACTATAATATATTTTTTTATTTAACAATGTTACTATTATTTTGCATAAGATGTTATGTTATATTAATAATATAATAACATCTTAATACAAATAAATTAAATACATTAGGTTTAACTTAATTAATAATATAACATCTTAATGGTTGTCATAAAGATGTTATATCAATATCTATTTATAATATCACATCATGATGCATGTAATTTAAATATATTCGGGCCCTATTATACGTTATATTATAACTATAAGATAATAAATTGATCATATTATACAAAAATATAACAATAATACTATGATATCATAATACACAATGTTTTAGTTTGTTAAACAAATATATATACCTGACAAAAACGTGATGACCTACTAATCTATATATACGCGTGTTTATATATATGCATATATATATATATATATATATATATATATATATATATATATATATATATATATATATATATATATATATATATAAATATATATATATATATATATATATATATATATATATATGTATGTATATATATATATATATATATATATATATATATATATATATATATATATATATACATATATATATATATATATATATATATATATATATATATATATATATATATATATATATATATATATATATATATATATATAATATAACAGTAATACTATGATATCATAATACACAATGTTTTAGTTTGTTAAACAAATATATATACCTGACAAAAACGTGATGACCTACTAATCTATATATACGCGTGTTTATATATATGCATATATATATATATATATATATATATATATATATATATATATATATATATATATATATAAATATATATATATATGTATGTATATATATATATATATATATATACATATATATATATATATATATATATATATATATATATATATATATATATATATATATATATATATATATATATATAATATATATATATATGTGTATATATATATACATATATATATATATATATATATATATATATATATATATATATATATATATTTATATATATATATGTATGTATATATATATATATATATATATATATATATATATATATATATATATATATATATATATATATATATATATATATATATATATATATATGTATATATATATATATATATATATATATATATATATATATATATATATATATATATATATATATATATGTATATATATATATATATATATATATATATATATATATATATATATATATATATATATATATATATATATATATATATATATAGCTATATCTGTTTAAAAAACTATATAAACTTTAATTTTTATAATACAGTTAGGCTATTTCTATATTATAATAAAGTTTATTTTTCATTTTAAAAATCTAAATACTTTTGTTTTCTCGATTAAAAACGCATTAACGCGTGTCATGAAATAGCTGTCTAGAAGTTTTAACTAACATACTTTAGTATACCTCATTACGCAATACCAATTATGCAACTAATGATTTTTGGCAATATTTTACTAACGACTTAATTTGTCATATTGAAATTTACTATACATAACTAACAATTTTATCGATATTGCTTTTTTCGCATTTTCACTCTACTATTCATATTGTTTTAAAAATATCAATATCAACATCAAAAATGGCATGTAAAAGATCTTCAGATGAACCTTCGGAATGCAACAGCTTTCTTCAAAGCTCTAAACGGATGGGCCAAGTTGCAACGGTAATTACATTTTATTTATTTGGTCTATATATAGGACTCTGATAACTTAACTTGCATTTTCCTCTTTTATTTTAGTTTTTATTATGTTACCGTAAACCGGGGTTACTTTGAACGTTTTTGAGATATTTTTACTTGCTTTTTCCTCACTATTGACAATATTTAAAATTTAACAAAATGAATATAAGGGCTAAGGTTAACTCACACATAATTCAAATTCAAAATATTATTTAAATTATGTTAATTTAAACAGTTTAATATTAATTTAAACAGTC